AGAGAGCATTCCTCTCAAATCACACAGCAGCGTTAATGCAGTGCTGTTTTCCTGAATTGTCTCTGGTGCGCCATCATGATTAGATTTACGTAACTTCTGTCTGTCCTGCGTTGACCATTACATATTGATTTTTATGTTTGTTATAAAGAAAACTTGCACTGACTCTCACACACTATGTTGCTTAGAGACTACTATACAAACACATTCACTGTATTTTCCTATTCAATATTTCATTATTTGAAGGAGCATGGTATAATTTACTGAGTGATGCCAATTCCCCGTTAGCTGACACAATGATTCAATCAATTAACTCCAATTTGAGAAAGATTACATAATTAAAGATCTACTGTAAATAAGTGATATTGATTTAAGTAAGTAAGCAGACACCATCAACCCAGGGGTAACAGCTGTGACCAAAAAACAGGATGAATACTTAAACATGTTTGTTTAGTTCAATTTAAGAGATTATATATTATTACAGAAGCCTCATCGTGCTAAGAATTGCTGTTATGTCATTATGGAAACACACCAGTCAAACACCAAACACACCGTATGATTATTTTAAGGTTTCTTTCAGCTAATTAAACAAAAGATTTGGGATAAACAGTTAAAGTCTGCAGCATTGCTAATATACTGATGTTTAGCAGGAATAACATTTACTTTGTCAACCATCTTTGTTAAGCTGATAGTTGAGGATTTGCATCAAACACTAACTGAGGCTGTTGTTATTGCAATATCCTAATTGGAAAAAGTATTAAATTATATAATAATATGAGACTCACCAAAAGACCAATCCGTCTTTAATGCCGCCAGCAAGCAAATAAAAAACAAATGAAAGTGTTAAATGAAAATAACTGTGGAAATCAAATAGCCTTCACATCTTTTGTTTAAGGGAATCTATCATAACCTAAATAAAAGCTGTTAGCAATCAGTATCTGTGTGATAACATTATCTCTTCTATTATAAGTACAACTAATTAAATAGCATACTTTTATAACCTAAATGACTAGCCTGCATTGCTTTACAACAAGTCATTGTGGTTATGATGTCTGATATATTTCCGGCTCCTTATCAACCAACATGTAAAATCCTCCTATAACTGCACTTGGCTATTATACAGCCCTCTAACTGCCTTCTTAATCATCTTAATGACTGAGCGGTGAGAGCCTCCTCAGGGGGAAGGCAGAGACTGAGTGGCCCTCAGCGCGGGGTGGACAGATGCCGGACTGAGAGATTGAGTGGTTTGATGGGAGGATCGTCTTTCCCCTCCTGTCTGGGAGATCCTCTGGTCCCTACTGGACGGGCCTGAGGGACGCTTAAATTCAGTTTTTGACCGTAGAGCGGAGAGATTTGTCTCTGTAAGCTGTCATCCGGCCTCAAGTACAAGTTTCCTAGAAGTTGAGAAATTGCTTCTTGTAATGACTGTTCCATGCAGTAGGAAACATCTGCAGGAACTAAAGCCCGGTTAGCATCTCTGGTGAGAAACTTTCAAATGACTTAAGTTTCACAGTAAGGAGTATTGATTGCTTCAGTATCTATCGAAAACAGCACATTTATAACTCTCACAAATGTTTCATCAGGATGGTTTTACCTTTTTGTTTCAAGCAGCTTGAGTTCATCATGAATAGACTATTTTCTCAGCGCATCAAGTTCAAGTCTTCATCCTCCTGGGTGTCTGCATTCCAGCAGCACAATGATCCTATTAGATCTCTATTAAGGGGCTTTTTTCATAAAATGAATTACCATATGACCTTAACACTATGCACATATCTTTACATTCATCTTTAACACCATATTTTTTAGAAACATGTGACTATTTGCTCATTTATGTCGATGTTCTCTGAGGTTTTCCCCTTTGAGCTCATGTTGAGGTTTCTGAATCTATTGCATTATAGCAGCTGAGCAAAATGATTACATGTACTGTCCAGGGAAATGTATAATAGACAGCTGTGGAAGTGTGCTGTCATAGCATGCACACACATAAAACACACACACACACACACACACACACACACACACACACACACACACACACACACACACACACACACACACACACACACACACACACACACACAATTACGCCGATGGCCAGGCAGAAAGTGAGAATCAGACCCAGATGTGGAAGAGACCAAATGAAAGATGCAGCTCCACCCTCCCTCTCTCCCGAGAAGTGGTGGCTTTTCAAAGTTTCCACAGTTTTGATTTACAAGTGTGTCTAATAGTTGTCAGGACAGAAAACCACACATCTCAGCCTCATGGTGGCCCTAGAGGAAAACTCGCAGGATCACCTAAATCTTTGGTATTTTCTGAAAGATATACATGATCATCAAACTCAATAGGATTCATCCATTCTTGAGTCAAAGTAGGCATGGAACACTAACAACCAAAGTCCAAAATTTGGTTAACAATGGATAGAAGGTGTTGATTGCGTTTGTCTCATGCAAACTTTATGCATGGTGTCCCTAAAACATGTAAGACTTGCAGAGGATTGGGAATGTCTGGATTTGTTATCCTCTGCTCCATTAACAATGTACTCTCCCCAAATGAAAAAAGGCCATTCAATAGACGTCCGAACACATAAACCACAAATGTCTGCCTCATGGCGGCCCTAGAGCGAAACTCAGATAATCAACAAATTCACTGGCATTTAAAATACGGGGATAATAAACCAAACTTTGTACTATTTTAATCACTTATGGCAATAAATCCAATAGTTGTTTGGTAATTTCACAATGTTAGCCTCATGGTTGATCTAAAGGAGATCTTACACGATCATCAAAGTCAATAGGATTCATCCATTCTTGACCAAAAATGTGATTCAAATCACCTCAACAACTGAAGTCCAAATGGTAAAAATCTGATGGAGGGTTTTGTTTGTCTGATTTTAAATTGTATGCGTAGATGTCCTGAGAAAAAACATTTAAGACTTGCAGTAAATGTGGATGGATTTGATCCTATGCTTCATTAACAATTTCCTGTCCCCAAATAAAAAAAGCCCATTCAATACTTGGCAGGACGCATACTGTAAGCCAACAAATGTCACAGTCATGGTGGCCCTAGAGCAAAACTCTTGGGATCACCAGAGTCCTTGGCATTTATGCTAAAGCGACAATAAACCACATTATTTGCCAATCCAATCTTTTTTGCCAATCCATCCTATAGTTGTCGAGCAATTTCACAAAAAAAGACAGTGTTGGCTTCTAGAAAATAACTCACAGGATCATCAAAGTTAATAAGATTCGGTCATCTTGAGTACAATTATAATGGAATCGCTAGAACAACTCAAGACGGAAAATATTTGATCTTTTGTCATCATAGAAGTGGTTGAGTTAGTTTGTCTGATACAAACTATATGGATAGATATCCCAAGTAAACATTTAAGGCTTGCAGTTGATTTGGCATGTCTGGATTTGTTATCCTATGCTTCATTAACAATTCCCACTCTCCAAAAGAAAAAAGAAAAGGCCACTCAATGCATCATGGGAGTAAGATCAAACTCGAAGGTCAGCAAGGGAGCCTTGGAACCTCGTGATGAGGAGGAACAATGTAATGTCTTGTTCCAGAAACTATTTGCCAGATTGAACAACCTCAGTGGTCCATGAGCCGCCCCAGGTGCCCTGAAACCTAAATAAGAAGAGCAGTGGAGTGTGGTGCAAACTCCTCTGTGAGAGTGAGAGCGGTACCCTGTGGGCATTGTTGCTAACAGGTCAATCGTGTCCAATGGATCAGCACCATCTAGCATGTTGCTATCCAGCCATGCTGTGTTGTGGTAAAGAGAAACTAATTTAACTTATTAAGAAGAAAGATAAAAAAGATTTGGATTATTTAAACCTGAGATAAATGTAATGAGCACATAAAAACAAGGGTTTGTATCACAGTAGTTACAGGAAAGATAGTGTTTTTGTGCAGCGAGTGTACAAAAGGTCTGCTTTGGAGGTCTGGTGCAGATGACATGCAGGCGAGGAGAGAGGGTGGTTTCCATGGAGCCTCCCTGATCCTCATGAGAGACAGCAGCGTGGAACATCTTAAAAAGACGATAACAATCATGATAGGGGGGGAAAGATATGCCTGAAAGGAAAACATTTGGATTGGAGTTTTCATTTTAAAACAATCGCTTGTGTGGACATGTGTCCTGCACTGACTTGACATGTTTCCAAAGTGTGGTTTTGGGTGTGTGTCTTGCTTAAACTGGCACATCTCAGCTCAGTGAAGTGATGTCACCCATTGGGCTGAGACTTTTTCTGGATTGAAAACCAGGTTTTCCCTTTTATTCAAGCTGTGGACAAAACTAACCAATCCTTCTTACAGTAGTAACAACAGTTTTCATTAACAACCTTGTACAGTACATTAACCTTGACCTTTTATGTCCTCATTGTTGATGTTATTTGACAAGAATACTGTTGTCCATTTAGGGCATGACACTACACAGCAGATTTGTTGCATATGCTTTATCCAGCTGTTAATCTGGAATTGATATCGTAAGGAGGCTTAGACAGGATCAAAAGATAAACTGGATGCTCTAGTTGTTGCAGGGTCTGGGATTTTGACAGTGAGGATAATTTATTATGTGTGTGTAATTGCATATCTAAGCATGCATCCGTTCACATGAATAACACGTCCATAAAATCATGCATCATGTAGAGAGTATTGAACAGGGAACACTGGAGGTGAGGGAGGGGGAGGGGGAGAACAAAGGAACCAGAGGAGATGCTGAGAAAACATGGTGTGTGAGAGGAGAATGTTGCTGGGTTTTTAAAAGCCACGGATGATCGCTTCTCAACGCTTTCTCGCATTTCATATATTCTGCTGAGACACAGCAAAGCATCTTTTTAAATGAAGAAAAAACGAGTGAAGGAGGATGGGAGGGAAGGAGGAGGAGGAGGAGGAGGAGGAGGCAAGGGAGAGGCAGCAGAAAGCAGGGGGAGGAGGGAGCGCTGTTGCGTCTGCTGCCGCTGTCATTCCGCTGCTGCGCGCTTCAGCGGCAGGAGGGTGTGCTGAAGGGAGGAGTGTAGAAAGAATCGTAGGAAAGAAGGACGGGAGGAAAGGAGAGAAAGGGAGTGCCTGGGCAGCACTGCAACAGCTGCAACTGCAGCAGCCTGTCAGGAGGAAAGAGGGAGAGAAGGAGACAGAGGGAGGAGAGGAAGGCTGCAGGATTTGCCTGTAGAGTTTTTTTATGTATGCTTTTGCACAAGGAAGAGGAGCCGATACGGAAGCCTTTTTTCTCTCCCTTGCTAATGCTTCTCTATATGGTCTCATGCAGGAGGCATGCTTGGAAATAGTGTGAGAGACAGAGAAGGAGATTTGAAGATGGAAAGGACGGATAGCACAAAGGCATACGGCCAAGCAGATGGCAAAGGAGTTGGTATGGCTGCTAAGAGAGCAAAGTCCGGAGTACCCCAGAGCTCCCAGAGGGGTGAACTGAAGGTTTACCGCGCAGGGAGCTCTGACGGCAGGATACCACTGCCCTCCAGTCTCCGGAAGCAGAGGTCTATGACAAACCTGGCGGTCCTCACTGATGCTGAGAAGAAGTTGCACCTCTATGAGCCCAAGTGGTGTGATGACATGGCCAAGTCCGGAGCAGGGCAGAGCAAGATGGGCAAGCCAAAGACAGCAGGGGGGGGCAGCAGTGCCGGAGGGGGTGCCCCTCTCTCAAGAAACCTTTCCAAATCTGAGCACTCACTGTTCCAGGGCAAACCCAAGCCCTTCAGCCCTCTGGCTGCTCCATCTGCTCTGAACAAGCAGAGCCGCATACCGCGTGCACCTTACGCTGAGGTGAAGCCCCTGAGCAAGGCACCTGAGGATGGGAAGTCAGATGACGAGATCCTCTCCAGCAAGGCCAAGGCCAAGAAGCAGGGAGCTGGAGCCGGGGGGGAGTCTGGGTCCAAAGGCCATGGGGAGGAAGGTGGAGACAAGAACTTCCTGAAGGTGGACCCAGAACTGGTGGTGACAGTGCTGGGCGACCTGGAGCAGCTGCTCTTCAGTCAGATTTTGGGTGAGTACAGCAAAGCCGTGTTGATAACGCCAACACTCCAGAGTCCCTACAGTACGTGTGGCGGCCATGTGGCTTGCAAGATTTCTCAGTGCTTGTCGGCAGCACGCCCCCTTTGATAGCACACGGCACCTGCTCGCTGTTGCAGACCAACGCTGCTCCTAAACGGATTAAATGAAGCTCTCCGAATGAGAACAAATGGAAGACATCCCTCTTGTGCTGGCTTGCTCCTCTTATTTCATGCTGCATCAGTTTGGTCTTTGATTAACCATTTAGCTTTATGTGAAAATGCCAAAGCTATAGCTCTATTGTTCATGTTCTTCCAACATGTCGCTCAGGTGGCTGGGGCTCGCTGCCATTGATATTATGAAATAAGCAAGCTTATATAGCTTTGCCGGCTGATTGCATGAAATAAGCCAGAGGGGTTGGCGGTTATTACCAGCACACTGATCCCCTTAATAAAGCTCTTGTTTGTGCCGATGCACTCGAGGGTCCATCCCCTGCTCCACGTACGCTTCCATCAAAAGAGAGATGGGAAAAGAAGGCATGCCATATTGAATTCATTTTCGGCACATAGACACATTTAGCCTCCTCCCAGCTCCATTCATCTGTAGAGCTCTGACAGATGGTTTACACCCTGTGTACTACAGCGGTGCAAATGGCAGAGAAAATGGCTTTCTCCCTGGTGGTGTAGGCCAGGTTCATCAATACAAGGGCTCGATGAACAATAGGGGTATTGATCATATTATAGGGGGTTATAATTATTATGACTTCATCTTCTTTGTTGCTTGGTTTGAATTTTGCATTTCAAAGCTGGCTCCTTGTTTAATTGCAGGTTTAGTATGTGTCTGATTTAGACATGAATTCCAGAAAAAGTGTCTTTGTCTGAAACTTACATGGAACAATCCATTATAATTAAAATCTAGTGTACGTGGGTTTTTGTTTGTTTTTTTAAATTGAATGTTGTAGTTTTTTTACAGATCAGACACTCAAATCTAGTTGGCATTTCAAAAGCTATAAAGAAAGAAACATTACTCTCTTTAATGCATAATACTGTGAAAAGGCTACGTGTTCTTTTAGCGTCAGTGTTTTGGTTCCAGATGACACTACTGACACAAGGTCCTCTAATTTAAAGAACAATAATACTAAAGCGCATATATCGTACACATAACGTCGTTGCATTCATTCGTATTCCTAAAATCTTGTCATCCACAAATCTGGTTCAAGCATGTCATGTACAGACAAGCATTTCATACTTATTTGTATTCCCTTGCTTCAAAAGCATCAGGAGAGCATGTTCACTTCTGCATCTTAATGAACACATCTGTGGTGATTGAAACTGTTAACTGTTAACTGTAACTGCCTCATTAGCATTACATGGACATCTATCACTCATGTTGGCCACACTTAAGTCAGCTATGAACTGTGAACAATAAAAAGAATAGCTGCTTTGCTTCATTACTTTAAAAAAAAGTGAAATCACAAAAATGTCTAAAAGCTCAGTTGCATTGGGAACCACACCCACGTCTCCTTTAATAGCCTATTTGCATAACATTTGCAGCAGAATGTGTCTGGCTGATACATCTTCTCTCCTCAATGTAACACTTTGACCTCCCTGATTTTTCCCTAATCAATCGAAAGTCATTATTCCTCAAATGGGGGCTTTTGACACGAGTCCAGTGCTTTTGTAAAAACACCACCAAATGGAGACCTGCTGATGGAAAGGCGGGAAACTATCACAACAAGTTTATAATTAGGAGAAAAATATCTTAAATGACAATAATGATGTGTTGCATTAATGGAAACTTTAACTTTTCTGCATTGTTGACTGGAATTTTTTTCCTAACTCTGCATTTACAGTGGACATGCTTGTTACTGTAAATAGATGTTTCTATGAATAGTCTGCTTTACATTCAAGGCCAGCTTTATGCTTCATACAGTGCTGTGCTTCTGCAGTATATCTCATTATAAGCTTGCTGAATAGATACTTTTATTCTGACCATAAAGGATCTCTTTGTTTACCAACATGACATCAAGACACAGTTATAAGGGTCATTGATAATAGTGATTTGTGCTCCGTGGCTGACATTCATCACTGCCTCATCACAAGATAACAAAACTAATCAAACATTTCCATCCTGATCACATAGAATTGTTATGCTTTAATTTTTTGGTTTGATGGTCTCACAAAAATAATTGCATTCCATTTTCTAACTCTTCACACAGAGCAGTTGTCAGCTGGTAATAAATGAAAATGGACCATTTGGAAATATTTGTGATGAATGGACTATGAAAATGTTTACATTCCAGGTCATTAAAACTCTAGATAAGATTAGAGTAATGCAGACATCAGGACTCCTGGAAAGAAAGGGTGTTGAGCAAACATCATTTCATTGTAATTATATGTGATCTGTCATGCAAGATCTCCAACGTAGCGATGGCTACAGCTACTGGATGTAGATTCATAGTGGAGCAGTAAAATGCTATATGGGTGATGAAATAGTCACAGATTGCATTATTTCAAGCTATACATGCATGCAATTTTCAAACATGGTTTCCTTTTCAATGTACGCTAATGGTAAAGTTCATATTTTTAACATGAAAACAGTCTCGTAGGCTACTGTAGCTCTGTTTTGAATAGGTTTTTCTCTTTGCCGCTTCTACACGTTTTAAACGTTTCATGGGCAGAACGTAATTTTTCTGTAACGTAATTGCATTTTTCTGCTTGTAGGGAGTGGGACGTAGGTATTACGATTTTATAGGAAAATTGATTGTTCTAGCCAACGAGTGACAGCTGGACAAAGTATGTGACCATCAAAAAAGGAAACTCCCTCTTTCTGAAATCTGTGTGTGTGTTTTCTTTTCCTTTTTTTTTGGTGCACATTGCCACAATTGGCAATCTCTCACTGTGTCACCTGCCATTTAAACACTTGAGCTCTAGGTCTATTTGAGGTAAAGTAAACACATCCTCTTCTAGTGTTGTGCCATGAAGCAACCTCTCTTTATTATTGTCAAGTGCTTTAGATTCCCTGTGAAATCTCAACAATGAAACAGGCTTTAAATGAACTGGCCAATAAAACTATGTTACCTTCACTGATCGTTTTGTTTGTTTAGTGAAATTTGGAGGCTAATGTTTCAATTCATCAGGGCACTAATGTTGATTTAGCCGTTTTTGTAAGGTTAATTACAAAGGGCATGTTAACAGTATTTTATAATTAGTTTTCTTTTAATCTGCCTGGGCACAGTGTCGATATTGAGCACTTCCTTTGGTTGAATCATTCATCGGTCTTTCCCGGTACACATCTGCTTCAGTATTCTGTCCGAGTGTTCCTGCTTGGAGGCGTGACTGCATTGCAGAGTGCCAGAGGACTGTCAGTCACTGCACAGGGACACAGTGCATAATGCACACACTCCAAACAGCTGTGATGCACATGTGTTCAATGTGTCCAGGATTCAAGCTTGAACTTATTCCCAGGAATTCATCTTAAATAAATGAGCATTATGCCAGAATAAGCATGTGGTTAGCGTTTGTTCATGTGAGGTTACCAAAAGATTGATTTACAGAGTCAAGGACTGTCACGGAGTACTTTTTGACTCTGGTATGTTATTCTATATCTCCCTTCTCATTATCTCAAATAAACTAAATATATTCTGGGTGAGACCATGTTTCATAGAATACATATGAGAATACTCAAGATGACAACTAAATGTTATCTGATAGTAACATGATAATTATGTCTTTATTTAGTTTTCAGTCAAACATCAGATATTGCATTACGAAGACAGTGTGGATGCACTATATATACATATATACACACAACTCAAAACCACAATGTTTTGTTCTTAATATCATTGTGTCCAAATCTCACTTAAAATGCTCGATATAAAATAAACTGTGAGGTCGATTTCATTATAATATGAATATCATTGAACAGGGACACAGCCATTCACTTCCACTGGTTATACGTTTTGAAATAATTTTCTTTGGAAACCCTGAGAATTGTCTGCTTCCACATAAATCAAGTTGCACTATAGCATCTCCCTTCCAAACTAGCTTGAGCCCAGACACGTTTCCATCAACATAATATTTCAATTAACTCAATACCTCATTTAGTTGAGCTCTCACAGACTCATAAATCACAAATTACCTTGCTTGTCAATACTGCACAACTAGTATTACCCTATATTAGGTTATACTACGATACTGTACACAAATGCCAAGAAGATTATTTATTGCTTTTTCACTGAGGCCATAAATGTAATGTATTCGAGATTTATGCTTTTGAAACGACCTTATGTATCAAAAGTGCTACAGTAACACGTTTGGTTGCAGATTTGGACTCCTATCTCCAGTGCTTGTTAACAAAAAGGACATTCATAGATCGTGTTCTGAATGTGTGAACTGTGTAAATGTTTTCATGTGACAGTGCTGAAGTAGTTGAACTTGTCTCTATGAGAGCAGCACATTATTTGACGTGTGTTCCCCTGACATCGCCCCTGTCCTCCAGCTATTCCAGTTAATGCATTGAATGTTAATTTCTTTCTTCCCAAGGGTTTCTAGCCTCCACACACTGCAGTGGAAAACCCTATCTTATTTTGGTCTGAGACAGGGTGGTTTCTCTGATTTGTTACAGCTAACACAACAACAGTCGTAATTGCACTGTAATATTGATTTGACATGGTCATGACCGACTGACTGCACACTTTACATTACACGCAGCTTTGTCCAGATACGCTGACCTGCAGTGAAATCCTTCTGGCTGCAGTTCAGCGTGTTGTTAGCCCTACAGCTTCAGCTGAAAGACTCTGAGTTAATGCTCAATAAAACAGAACCAGAAGCCTTGAGAGAAAACAACTCCTTGAAAGAGATCCTGGTGTTGCATGAATGTCAGAATACATCCCCCTGGTGGGCAATGTGAGGCAACCTTTCAGTGTTTCTTTTTCAGGATGTACCATGTCAGTGAGGGGGGGTGTGGAGCGGAGGTTACCGTGGCGAGGGGGCCCATGGAGTGAAATTTGTCTGCCTAATGATGTGAACATACGCTGGCTGTGTGCTTACACGGAAGACACTTGTCACATCAGTCTCAAATAATTCAGGGGGAGGCAGGAAGGGTGTGCATGCATGAACTCTCTTATAACGCAAACACAGAGAGCAGGATAAAAGACTGTGTCTGAGTTTTAGTTTGATCCTCTAAATGTTTCATAACCTTTTGTTCTGCATGACTGACCCACAGACCCCGAGTCCCAGAGGAAGCGGACCGTGCAGAATGTCCTTGACCTTCGCCAGAATTTGGAGGATACAATGACGAGTCTGCGGGGATCCCAGCTAAGTCATAGGTAACAGCCAGCACTACATCTGCTTTTGAGGATTTGATATTGTATCCTAATGCTGTATCCTGCACTTCTGGCAAATATCACATACAAACAAGTGAGGGTAAATGTTTTGTTAATGAAATCTCAAAACACTGAGCCAAATTATATTCTCTTTGGTTTAAACTGAAAAGAAACTCATACAAACAAGCACTGGACAGTTTGTTGGAACGATACACGACACAATCATGTGTAAACAGTTGTGCCGTGGCTGTTTGGAAGGATGCTGGTGCACATCTGGCTTCCATCCTTCTGAAACAGCCCGGCTCTGTTTCATGTTCAGGACTTCATTCCAGGAATCTCTCTGTTTGGCTCTCACAGGCAAAAGGCCCAGGAATTAATTTGAGAAACAACCACAACACAAGGCAGTGGTGGAGCAGGACAGGTCTTTGTTGTTTCATTTGGACATGTGTTTGGATGTCCTGTGAAACATGAATGAAACATAAACATACGTCTGGTTTCTATCTCTTTAAACCTGCACTGATTATTTAGTTGTACAAATACAACAGGAGGTATTCTGAATTATTATATATAACCAAAATTATATATATATAACCAAAATTGTACAGCTCTAAACTGCTTTTTTGAAAATACACATTAACAGCTGAAAACTTCAATATTTGTAGCAAACCAAAATCCCACCTACATAACCAGCACATACTAAAATAAAGATGAATTTATTGGGTCGCCAGAAACATGATTGAATAAAACTCTAAAATTGCTCTGTGTCTGCTAAAAGGGTAATTACTCAGTGAGTTGTAATTTATTTGAATACACACTTTATTAATGGCTTGATTAATTCAAGCCACAACAAACAAAACATTACAATCAGCAAAATATAGCAATATATTGCTCATCCCTCATTCATTCCATCAATTATCTTCTCTGGGAAATGTTGCAATTATATTATTTTGCCATTGGCCAGTTTTGTTTATGGATGCTTGAGAAGACTTCTTGTAATTCACACCACTATTATACAGTAGTTATCTACAATCATACCCATTGTTAAAAGCAAGACTTCTCACTCAGTTCCAGTACTGGACTGGCAGCAGTGAGCCTCCATATTGATAAATTATCCATCAACAATGGATAAAAATACTCCCATGCTCGTAGCCTTTGCAATATTTATTTGGGTGAATTGGTTCATGTATTATGTAACCTGCAGACACAGCCATTTGGAGGACATTTCTTACCCTGACCCATTTACAGGAGTGACTAGGAATTTTTGATATACTCCATTCAGAATAATAGTGTAAAGTACATGTTTTTGGGTTTGGTCATGCAAAGCAGACCCCTCTGTCTTTGTGAAAGTGTTGCGTAAGGAGACAGGGGGAGCTTTGTTGCTCTGTAAGATCAGAGCTATCAGGCCATCCTTCTCGTTGTCTTTGGGTCCTGAGAGGCCACATTTCTAGCTTTAGTCCCTGAAGATGATACGCCACCAACTGCTGTATCTGGGTCAACAGCGACTCAATGCCACTATGGGTTTCTTTGAAGGACTTCTGAAGATAGTCAGCCAAATGCCTCAGGTACACTGACCCTCTATGTCTCTCCAGCTGTATGGACAGCAGTAATATGGGCTATGACAGCGATGAGACCAACGCTCGCAGCATATCAAGCATGTCCAACCGCTCCTCGCCTCTCTCCTGGCGCCACGGCCAGTCCAGCCCTCGTCTCCAAGCGGGAGAGGCCCCCTCCTCCACGGGCGGGGGGTACCAGGGGAGTAAGAGCTGCTCCCAGTACACGGCGCAGACGATGCCCGCCCGCTGCTCCAGCCGCCTCAACAGCACGTCTCGCATCGAGCTCATTGAGGGGTTGGACGACCTCAAGTCTGGTTACCTGAGTGACAGCGACCTCCTTGGAAAGAGCCTGCCGGATGACGACGACAACCTGGCTAATGGGTAAGAGTATCTGAAGATAAGCGTGGGTTTGCACCTCTTGTCACCATGACAACATGATTAAATCAGTGGCTGCGGACGACTGCATGACGGTTTGTCCTTTAGGTCTGCACCTTGTTACTTTGAAAAGGTCAGTTAGAAGTTGTCGCATTACATTTTACTCAGAGTAAGCAATAAGGTCATTATTGTCCTGCTGTTATGCTGATCATTGTTCCATGCTGCATTACGATTAGGATGCATTTAGGCATTTAAAGTTTCTATCCCAGCTTTGATTTTAAACTCATCTCTTTTAAAGTATTATGTATTGTGAAGTTTTTACATGAAATAAATCCCTTCATGCAGTCAAATACTTGCTGGTTGATAAACATTTCTGCTTGTAAACACAAAAGCGTTGAACCTCGATCATTTTATGACTAAACCCCTTCTGCTTGTGGGTAAACATGTTAAAACAGTGCTTTGGAAAAAGGCTGCTACAAACCTTGATTTTCTTTCTTAAGTTTGTCTGGAACATCACCATATTTTCTCCTCCTCTGATACCCGTGGTTTACGCTAATATTATGGAATGCTGCATCCTACAAGTTGACATGATTGGTTCCTTTCTAGAATGTGACACATGTGGCATGTTTTTAGACTGTCATTGGTGCACTACAGTTCCAAGGCAGCCATCATAGACTTATTTGTTCACGTACTGTATGAAGTATGATGCCTTGAAGTATAAAGAAAATCAATATGGACACGTTAACAAGGTTTCAAACTTGATTTTCATTGGAGAGGGTTATTTATCATTCAACAGTTGTGCAGACAAGTCGGAGGAAGTACGCTTTTCATGCCGACATCGTGGCTTTCTGCTTTGTGTTATCTCATCTTTTGCACTTCTATCAAAGAGCTTTCTTCAGCAGTCTCTTTTTTTCTTCTTGCTGTTTAAGGATTTTTCAAAGTGCCCATAACATTGTCAGAGGCTTTTTTGCTGACAGTGAGAGAGAGAAGGCCTTCAGAAGTTTTTTCACTGAGGACTTGAAAGCACATCAGGTGTCCTCTGAGTCACAATAGATGCTCCCTCGTCTCTCACTGGTTTAAACTGTGGAGCTTCTGCATCATGTAAAGATTATATTAAGAGGAGCTGAAGCAACAAATAGTTAGGATCAATTCAAACATTACTTTCCTTTTTTTAACAGGAAGGCTGCTTCTCACAATTTCTCTTTCTCATTGTATTCTTTGCCTTTCCATCTTCCTCATGTTCTTCACACTCTGCTTATTCTATTTTATTTTCACCTCCTACATCTTGTCTTCTTTACACTCCTCTTATTCCTAGTCTTTGTGTTGTCATGTTTCTCCTCTTCTTTATCCTACTTTGCCTTCTTCACCTTTTTCTCGTCTTCTTGACCTTCACCCTTGCTTCCCTCCTTTCACATCCCTTGTGGTCTTTCTTGAATTCCCTCTCCCAAGATGACAGCTGAGGGAGAGAGGCAGAGAGAGGGAGAGAAGGAATCCAGGACAGTTCTCCAGTGCGATTTAGCAGCTTTATCGCTGCTGCACATGCAGTGGGATTTAAGCTCAGCCCCTGGAGCGCTCACTAGTCCCTTCTAGCCAGATCACGTTTTTACTACCTATTGCAGCAAGGACAAGGAAAGAGATGAGACACATTTAGATGAGTGGAAATTGGAGCAAAGAAGAAAAAAGCTAAAAAGGAAATGGGTCAATCAAGTTTCATCAAATTTGGAGCTGAGGTGAATGAGACCAGCATCATAGGAGTGCTATTGTGAATGGTGAAAAAGAAGTCTTGCAAGTACTGTAGTAAATGAAAAACGACTACAAGCTCCAGGTGAAAAGGTTTGGTATTTTGTTAGGAGAAAAGAGAAAAATACCAGACAGCAGATAAGGTCAGGATTAATCGGGGATTATGTCTTTTGGGTCCATTCCTCACACTAACATCCGTGCACTCGAAATCCATTTAAATCTCTCCTGTATTCTGTCCCTCGCTGCTTCAGCACTTATGTGGTGGTTCAAATGATTGTGAGAGGTGAGTTGGGGACTCGCCTCTGCTTTGCAACACCACTGGCACTGAAGATGCTAATCATTTTATGTAACTATGTTAAAAAATGCACCATCATGCTCAGCGTTATGACACCAACAATCCCTAAACATGAATGCAAGCCAGGCGATCCAAATAATAGAACAAGGAACAAGTGAATACAGATTTAAAAGTGGGGATGCAAGGCATTGGCCAATGTCCACTTTATTTACTGTCATCGACCCATCTGCAGATATGCTGAGATGAGCCAATGGCACTAGACGATTATCTGTTTTTCTGTGACTTGGTACTGTTGGTTAAAATACTTATCATTGAATACTGTAGGTTATTGCATGATGTTTTTGTAAAAGTAGTTTTTTCAAAATGGTTGCTTGTCATTGTCACAATATTTTATTCAGTGAAGTTTCATAAAGTGTTCATTCAAAGTTAGTATGATGAATGGCTGAAACACAGTAAAACATTTTTAATAATGACACTAATTATTTGTTTCCCTGGCACTAAAGGGGAATAAAAAGCAGCCACAGAAAATTCAAATCTGCATTTGTTTTGGCGTCAGCCAAATAGTTATTCACAACATTGGTACAAGCAAAGAAATTAGCAATTGGTGCCTATTTGTCGACCATTGTTTGGTCAGGGTTTTTTAACCTTACATTTTGGAAAGCCTGCATTGCCTTATGTTTATCCAGTTTTTCCTGGCACTCCAAGAGCACACATTCTTATTTATAGTTAAGTATACAGTGCAACCGGACATTTATTTGTCCTAGTCCATTAACCTGTTTTCAAGGTGATTGTGAGGCATCATGATGGGTGCCATGGGCCCCCCACATTAGCTTATTACCATTTGCACCAAGGGGACAATGGGTGTGTTTGGATACATACATGGTAATGTCACGAGAGTAATTATAGGATGTAGTGGCTGCCAGAGCACACCAGGGGCTATTTGGTCAATGACCTTGAGTAGGTTGAATGCTTATTTTCGGAACACTGTAGAAAAACTCCTCTTATTTGTATGGTTCACTTGCCTGTGTTTGGATTAATTTCACTACAAAGTATCCTTGCTTTTGTTGCAGGAATACTGGAATGCTGTTCTCTATATCAATAATAAATCCTGCCTCATAAATACAGCAACAACCTTTGGTGTAGATAACTAGCTAATCCTGTTTTTGTAGCGACACTTGCTCTAGTTTTCTCCTTACAGTAGGCTCTTGCAAATTCTGTGTTCCATTTGCATTTCTAGGCTACTGTACATCCCCTGTCACACACTCACAGCTCGGCTCATTGAGGACCATTAGCTACCAACCCTTGAAAATAGATCAGGCTCCTCTTGCGTAACCATGGAAACCAGCTGGTAATCGGCTGTAAGGAGAGGTGCAATTTCTGTTCCCTTTCACTAGAGCCTCAGTTTAACATATTTATGCCTTTCATTAATCTGATATTAGCCCCATTTATAATTAGTAGAAAGAGACTTCTTGGTAATTAATAATACTGTTGGTGATATATGTTGCTTGTGTAATTCATAAGACCAACGGGTAATGCTTGAAACTGTCTGGACAAAGACTAAAAGTGTTGAATGAATAAGACACAATGCATGTTGTTTATCAATGCATGGAACTACAGCACAACGCCTGATGTCTAATGGATATTGATGAACCCGCAGCAGACAGTGCTGGCTTTGAGGCTGAATGTGAACACACTGACAGTAATCACTGCTGCTGTGTGTCTGCCTCATCAATAATCTGAAGCCACATACATCCCAATCTCCTCAAGAGCTTTATCTTTCCATCAGAGAGCAATGATTGCTTCTCTACAGCCAAAACACAGCTTAATGCTAATCGGGTTTGGCCAAGTTAGGATTTTCAAAAGCCTTTTTTATAAATCATTAAAGTAGCATATCTGTTTGTTCCTGGGAAACTGGGATTATCATTATGAGTATAACTGATGGTCATTGCACAACATGCCCACAAATAAATGTCAACCTTTACACAAAGCTGCATTCTCGATTATTGGCCATTAGAGTACAGAAGAAAACAAACAAACGGTTGAAGTGCTTCATAATGTTTTTGTTAATGTAAAACAGAAATGTGCCTATTACCACATCCGGCAGACATGAAACACAAGCATTAAATCACCGGCTCGAAGACCTGTAGGCAATTTTCGCCCTTACAGACCAGCCACACCACAAATATTCAATAGTAACTGTGTCTATGACTTGAACATACTGTAGGTCCCTTCAATTGTTTACTCTTGTTTGAGGCAGTGCTTTGGTCTTTAGCCGGCCAGACATTTGACTTTCTTCTCAAACCAGACACAACCTTTGTCTGTCTGCAGTTGTGAGGTTAGGCAGTGGTTTATAAGGACTTATTCCCTGAAAACCTTTGGCTGCTGGTGCAGATGATGTTGTTGAGAGTGGCTCTTGAAGGCGATGAGTTCAAATGGGCTCAAAATCTCTGCTCTTTTGGGTGGTTTGTACAAGCATCCCCTCTCACATTGTGCACAGAAATGTGATACTACTTTAGATGTATCAATAGATTGTGAGGGTTTACACTTGTTTGCATTATGTTATGTTGAAAGCTGGTTCTAATTACTGGTCCACCACCACTACAATCGAGTTGAATCACTGTTTTCTTGGTACAATAGAAAGTATTTGTTGTTTTAGATTGCATGCATATTCATTCAGTATAAATATTTACTGTAACTGTTACCTTAGATGTGGTAATCAGACAATGTTTGCTCGAAATGTCTTTCATTTTTTTCCTTACTCTTAATCTTATGAGACTGATTTCAACTTCTTCCCAGAGGGACTGTGTTTCCCGTCTCTAGTGTTGAGGTAGCTACTAATCTAGCCTTGACCGCGTCAAGAATCATAACTGCTTCCTGTGGTTACCTTCTTCCCACCGTATTGGCAGAGTTTCACCATCACTCAAATGATATCATCCCATTGCAAGCCATATTTAAAACACTGCTCGAGCAG